GGGGGGGGGGGGGGTGTACACGTCCTCTCTCATAGACTTCCATTGCACCTTTTCTTTTCCAAAGTACCTTAATAAACCTGTGCACCCGTTACAGTAACTGCACCTACTCCCTTGCACCCACCGTCTGCCCTTCCCTAACCCAAAACACAGTCTCTTAGACCCGGCTCCAATTTGGTGTTTCCCTTCTCAGTTCATTCACAGTCCTATTCGCTGCCAGTGTCACTGTCGCTTCCACTGCTGCTGATCCTGTTGTTGTCCTCCTTGCTGTCTTCAGGTCCAGTTGTGTCGCTGTCCCCTTCATTCTCCCTATCCACTTCCTTTCCCAGGGCGGGGCTTTGAACAGCCTGTGCCACATGTCCTTTTTCCAGGTGGAGTTGGCTGCATCCACTCTGTCCTCTCCCACCGCTTTCTGGTAGTAGGACTGGAGTTCACTCAGAAACATTTTAACACAGTCTGTTTGCTTGAGCTTAATGTGGCTGTACATCAGGAGGTTCCTGCATTACCACAGGGCGCTCCTGATGTAGGACACAAACAGGTCGAAGCAGGTTGTCTGGGACCCCTGATGTTTTGTCGGGTGTTCGTACAGCGCCGCCTCCCTTGTCATCAGCCTGACTCCTGTCACTTCCTCAAGGAGCTGGCTTACCTTTTTCTACGCTCCCTTGGCATAGGGGCAGAACCAAAAGAGGTGGTTGATGGTCTCGTTCACACCTTGGCAACTTTCCCTGGGGCAGCTGGGTCTAGCCTCTTGTCTTGCTTTGTGCCTCCATGCCTTCACTGGGAGTACGCCGTGAGCTGTGAACTAATTCAAGTCTCTGTGGTCTTTTCTTAGGTCTTTGTGAAAGATTTGGTACCAGATGGCCTGGCAGTAATCATCGGGGAGCAGGTCCACGGTCAATAGCCCGTCTCTGTCTTTGACTGCCTTCTGTATCTTCCTGTGGTTGGACATGGTCTCTGGGCTTTCCTTCTGTAGCTCGTACTCACTGCAAAAATCCTCCAGCCCACTAGAACCAGGGGTATTCCATGGTGTACAGACTCCCTCTGGCTGGGCATACACCCCCACAGTCTCAGGAGGTGACCTGTAAAATACTTGACAAGACAGGCTGTTTTGGTCTCTGGCCCAGTCACTAGCTTGCTGATCTGGCTTATGTACCGTGCCCACACAAACAGGTGGATATCTAGCATCCTGCTGTCCCCGTTTCTCTTTGTATAGGGTCTTCCTTGCCACCGTCTCCATTCTGGATCCCCAGAAGAAGACGCACATGGTTCTCTGGATCCTGCAGGTGACACACTTGGGTGCAGAGAAGACCAGTGCGGTGTATGGTAGTAACACTGCCTTCATGAGTGCCATGTGGCACCCCCCCCGCCCCTTGGAGAGGCGGTATGTGTGCCACAGACGCAAAAGGAGTGAAACTGGTATAGTTTTTGGCTCCAAGCACCAAGACAGAAACTTGAGCTTGGGTAGGAGTTTTTGTAGAGAACTAACAATGGGTCAAGGGAGAACACTTGGTTTGTTTATGGGTAAACAATAGCTCATACACTGGATAATAGGAACCGATCGCTCCTGACTGTGGGTGGCATTACTCTGAGGGGGCTCACAATACAGACAGGAAGATTCAGTGTTTTGGGTACCAGTAAAGGAGTCAGTACTAGAATTGGTCTGATAAATGCTGAGCTCTGGTGTGTGTAGATGTGGGTTGATTAGCATTTGGAGCAGGAATCCCCCATCATGCAGTGTTTCCCTGCTTCTCTGCTTCCAGAATTCAGTGCGGTCCTTGCCTTGGAATCTCTGTTCTCCATCCTGAATGCTAATGAAGGTGCATTCCTGTCTCATCTCCCATTTAAATGAGTTGTCATCCAGTTCCATCTCCGATGCATGTGAGACCAGGGGAGTTGCTTCATTTTTATCACCCTTGTCTGGAGGGCTTTAGATGCATCTCCCACTATATCTTCATGGTCTTTGTAAGTCCCTCCTCTAATCAGTTCTTGTTCAGGCAGAGTCCTTTGTGAGTCAGGCAGGCTGTGTACTGTGCCAGGGTTCCCCAAGAACACAGAATTAAGAGGTAACATCTTATGATGAATGAAGATCTGTGGCCTGATGGCTATCAGGGTACTTAGCTTCCATTCAACCCGAAGTATATGTCCATCTCCGGCGGACAATCCTAGTCCACTGAGGGAGGCACATTGCCCTCCCACTCAGACAGCGGGTGGCCTTCTGTGCTTCCAGAGCCTCATCCTACTTTGACCTGAAGAACTGTAGGGTGTTCCAACTTTGGCAACAGGCAGCCTCATGCGCCTCAGGAAGATCTTACTCCTATGCAATTCTCTTAATCAGCAGCCTTGGCACCTGTGTAATGGTAGGTCCCAGTTGGCTAAGAAGGGAGAGATCATGTTGGGATCAGCTCCTCAGCGGAGAGATGTTTGCTTAAACAAGTACTTAATGCTGCTGTCCATAAGCTATTACTTCAATGGAAAATCAAAGCATGAGGAAGACTCACTACCACCTTTCTCCCAGTATCTTAAAGGCATAAGGCACTTTCTCAGTGAGTAGGCAGTCTGGGTTCTAGACTTCCCTTAGCCCACTCGGGGGCTAGAGCCACTGTCTCATACTTCCTAGGAGAGCATCTTTAACCACGAGGCCATGAGCTGGGTGGGACTGATAGCATTCTTTGTCACTTCTATTCAGAGTTCATCCATGTGCAGCCAAGAATACAAGATTTTTGGGGCAAGAAAGAGGGCAAGCAAGGGGGGAGTTTGACTGTGCTCCAGTGTGGAAGCACTGACCTGGAAGGGAGTGAGCCCTAGGTTCTGTGTCCTGCCTTTAGTGTACTTCAGCATTTTATCCAGTGACCATTTAATGTGTTGTGGGGGCTTCCACAATACATAAGAATAAGTGGAATAGGATTGTGTGATGACTTGGATCCCTAAAATCTGCATAGATGTCATTTAGTTGTATTAGAGGTAGAATGGGATTTGGACCTTAAGTGTACATTCTGGATCTGTCAGGTGTCTTCATTTTATGAGGTCTTGATTTGCCTATGGACTACTAAAGGAACCAGTTTGTGGAAGTCTCGAGTTTCTACCCATTTGCGAAATCCCAATCTAACACTGTGTTTCTACCTAGCACTTGGGGTATTGAGGAGAAAGGTGGCTTATCCATATAGTATAGCTACCCTCCTCAGTCACTCGAAGTTACAGGGTGGTCTCCTGAAGATGGCATCTGACTAAGTATTCTTAAGGTCTCAAAATCGTGTTATTTGAGAGAGAATATCTAAAGAACCTTGTCAAAACATATCTAAATAAAATAAAATGGATGCTTTCTAATCTTTCCCATTCTGTATGACCTTCCTGGAAATCGTTAATTATGCTTGGTCTTCAGGACTAAACTGGTAGATATATATTTTACTAAAAGATGAAGTACGTATGGCTTACTTTTAAACTTGAACTAATGACAACATTCTCTTCCTTTTCAGACAATGTCTTCAGCGGTTGTTCAAATATATGCAGCAGATCGTAATGCCATGTGGTCAAAGAGATGCTGTGGTATAGCTTGCCTTGTAAAAGACAATCCACAAAGGTCTTATTTTATCAGAATATATGACATCAAGGTGAGAAGCCCTTTCTTTCTTAATTTTTTTTCTTAATTTGGTAAAATTCATTGTCAATTTTGTATTGAATTTGGTTAAAGGTGTGTGAAACTGCCTTATAATTAATTGTTTAATAGTCCTCTATGATGCAAGTCAGCAATCTTTTACAAGCTGTGGGCTGGAACAAGCTTGCTGTGGTCCAGCATGGGCCAAGTGGCTTTGGCAACACATCAGCAAATGAGGTTTTCCCCTCACTCATTCTGGTGCAGGTGCAGCTCCCAGTTGCCTGACCCCACAACTGCTTCTCCCAGCCCTTTACCCCCTGGTTGCAGTATGAATGCAGCTTTCAGCCCCAGTGGCTGGCTTCACTGGGGCCAGGCATCTGCAAACTGCATCTGTGTTGTTGACTCTTCTCCCTGCTGTCCCCTCTTCCCACTAGCAGTGGCACAGCTGGAAGCTGCCTAGCCACAGCATAGCTCCTTGCTGCCTAAGCATAGGCAGAGTCCTCTAGCTCCCTGGTTTGGATCTGTCCCACAGGCCATGTGTTGCTGACCCCTGCTTTATGAAATTTATGCAGACATCATGCTTGTGTTTCTGACAGCATATTTTCAGGGAAATTTGATACAATATTCAAATACAAAATTTGATACAATACAAAATTTGATACAAATACAAAATTTGATACAATATTCAAATATTGTAACTACCTGTGATTGCATTACTTAATATTTGGATTTAGACTATATAGAATAGTTCTAGCTTTATATAAAGCACTACCATATTGACTAGAGGACTTGCTAACGTTGGTGCACTGTCACTAGTGTGCTGGGTCTAAGCAGCCTTTTTCATTTTGGGATTAAGTTGCCAAGATTGATGGCTTGTCCCTCCCCACACCCCCCCCAGCCCTGCCAGTGCCCGACCCAAAGTCCCCTGAACAAGAACCCCTCACCCCCCAGGCACAGCTTTCTGCTCCCTGCTGGTGCCCCTCACTCCTGAGTGCGCGCGCGCGCACACACACACACGCACACACACACACACACACACACACGCACACACACACACACACACGCACACACACACACACACGCACACACACACACACACACGCACACACACACACACACGCACACACACACACAGAGCCTCCAGACGAGACTTCCTTCCCTTGCTCCGCACACACATACGCTCTCTAGACAGTCCCCCAGACTTTCATTCCTTGCTCCCCATCTGTGTCCGGTGGCTGGGACTGCTCCCACAACCCAGCCTCGCTTAGTGCTGGCCATGTGCGTCTGCACGCGCAGATGCATGTGCGCCCACTGCCTGTAATTGTCCCAAGCAGCGCTTGCAGGCTGGAACACTGCCAACCTGTAAGGGCAATCCTACACTTTTGCATGTTTTTCTGGGACTTCTTTGTGACCCTTTCATATATTCTTGTGACTGACTTTTGGGTTGCGACCCACCAGTTGAGAAATGCTGGTGTAGAAAACATTGGAGGTGTCACAGGCTAGGAATATTACCTTTGGTTTTTTCATACCTAGATAAGATAAATGTTGTTATTGCACATGAAAAATACAGGAAAAACAAAAATATCCTTTATGGCATAGGTAGCAGTACTGCAATTTTCTCTATTCTACTCTATTAATTTTCAATCTAGACATGGAGATGTTACGTAAAACTCAGAAGTGCCCAAGTCTCATTGACAGAGGAAGCCTAAGTTCTACTCACTTTCAGTGAGACTTAGAAAATTGCCTAGCATTTTTCCTTTTGATACTTTAGTCTTGAAAAACTGTTCATTCAGCTGTTTCAAAACACTTTGAGGTGAAGTTTGATAGGCTTCTGTATGATAATTGCCAGTTGTTGCATGGACTAGACCTGAATTATCAACCTGTTGATAACATTGGAAGTACCAACCCTTTGACCAAATCTCATCATTTGGATTTTGTTCTCTATTGTAGATTCCTAAAACTTAGAAAGGTATTGCTTATACAAAACATCTGGAAACTTGGGCAAATATACAGCAACCATAAAAGTAGGTTGGCTTCCCAACAAGCTCAAATAATCTTTTGACTAGACTCTAAACTCTGTAGAGTAGACATTCTTCAGAGCATGTGTGTGTATGCAGTGATTGACACAGTAGGATTGCAATTTCCCATTGGAATTTTTGGATGCTATTACAATACAAGCTAGTCCAGGGAGTTTACTAGTCTTTAACATCTATAACTTCTTTTTCTTTTACAGGATGGGAAACTATTGTGGGAGCAGGAACTGTACAATAACTTTGTATATAACAGCCCTAGAGGGTTTTTTCATACCTTTGCTGGAGATGTAAGTCTTGATATTAATTGTGTAATACATTTAAACAATTTTATTTTTACTATTTTATTTTTCTTTAGCATATTTATTTTTCTTTAACAGTTGCTTCCTTTAATGTAAGTTGTGTGAAAGACTCAACTTTCATTGTATAAATTATTTTATAAAGTATAGTATTAGCTATATATTCTCTCTCACAGCTTGTGGTAAACTTAATTATAAGAGGGAACTTAATTATAAGAGGGAATCTTCTGCTTTAGCATTGATTTTCTTTCTAAAAATCAATGCTAAAGCAGAAGAAATACTAAAAGGGAAGAAAAATTAAGATGCCATTTCTTTACAGTTTTTCTTTGATTTAAAAAAAAAACCCAACATCAGTTACAGATGTCTTTTCATTGACACACAGAAAATCATTTACAAGTGCTTAAGTGCAGCTTAAGGTGGACTTTGTGCAACTTAACCTAAACCTTAGTTCCGTCACGGTATGTTCCTAGGATATTTAGTTTGGGTCCTCTACACTTGCAGGTAAAGATCTAATGGTGTCTAATGCAGGTGCAGGGGGAGCCCACTTCCAGGCTGCCCCTGTACTGGCAAGAAGCAGGCTCCTATGGCTGGGAGCCCCCTCAGTGAAACCCAGCTGGGGGGCCCAGCTTTCCCAGGGGTTCATGAAACCGGCTGCCACAATCCCCCAGTCCTGGGGGCTTCACATGCAGTCCTGAGCTTGGGGGATGGCAGGAGGCACAATCTTCCAGCCCTGGGGGTTTCACATACTGCTGAGACTGAATTCATGCACACTTGGGATAGCTGGGCCCCCCATCTGCTAGATCCCCTCACTCAGTGTCCACAGCTGTGGGACTCTGCTGCCAGGACCCAGAGTCGGCAGCTTCTGGGGCTGAGAGTGTCCTTGACTGCAGGACTCCCAGCCTTGGCTAGGCATAGTTTCATAGTTTCTAGGGTTGGAAGGGACCTGAGCAGATCATCTAGTCTGACCCCCTGCCATGGCAGGAAAGAGTACTGGGGTCAAACGACCCCAGTAAGGTGGTCATCCAACCTCCTCTTAAAAACCCCCAGGGTGGGAGCCTGCACCACCTCACTTGGAAGCTGGTTCCAGACCCTAGCCGCCCTGACGGTGAAGTAGCACCTCCTGATATCCAACTTAAACCTTCCCTCTGCCAGCTTGTGACCGTTGTTCCTGGTCACTCCTTGCGGCGCTCGGGGGAACAGGGACTCCCCCAGCGCCTGCTGATCCCCCCTAACCGGTTTATAACAGGCCACAAGATCCCCCCTCAGCCTTCTCTTTTGAGTGCACCCATGCTGCTGTGAGCCCCATCAACAGAGTTCCCAGCTGCAGGGGAGACTGCTACATGTGCAAATTAAAGCAGTCGGCTATAAAGTTGGGACACATGTTTGAGGTCTAACTTTATAGCTGGTTAGAGACTTTTATTGGGTAGTAGTTATTTTGCATATGTAGTTGGTCTCAAGGTAATTGTGCAATGAACCAGTTAGTTGTGGAGCACCTCTAATGTGTAGAGGTGGCCTCAGTTTAAGAAATTAGATTCTAGTAAGCAAAACATTACCTAACACGAATATATGTTCAACTTGCATACATATTTGCTTCCAACTTCTCCACATACCCCTCAAAGCAATGAGTTTCTAGCTTATTCCTTCAGAAACCAGTTTTCTTGGCCCTTAAATTCTGTAAAAAATAAAATAGTTAAGAGACTTGAACAGCTTTCATGTTCAATGGGGAATAAATTTGATGTATTTCAGACGTGTCAGGTTGGCCTTAATTTTGCTAACGAAGAAGAAGCTAAGACATTCCGAAAAACAGTAACAGATTTGCTTGGACGACGGCAAAGAAAATCTGGTAAATATTCAACCTACATTGAAGTATATGGGGGCAGGGTAGGAGGTTTATTAGCTTATTTAGAACTTACTGCTCTACTGAAGCTTCTTCCATTGGTGGGTGATCAGAAAATTGTACTGTGTATTTTAAATTAAGTAGCATAAAAATTGGTGCTCAACATGAGTTTCTTCTGCACATAGTATTTGTAGATACAGGCAGGAAAAGGGAAAGTAACTTTGTTACTAGGAGAAATTAAAAGTCTTCTGTAAACTCTGTCCAGATTAAACTAACCACCCTTTGCCTTCTGGGCCACTCAAGTACCTTGATTGTTTCATTTCAGGGAAAGTGGATTGTAACAGCTTTTACAGTGTGGTATGTTTATAGTCTGTGTGAATGAATTATTGACATTTCTCCACTAAATACTGGATTAATGTCCTTTATTCACAATTCGTAATTTTAGCAGAGGTGAAGAGCTGAAAACTTAGACTACGATTTTGATCCTGCATTGTATTCCATGCAAGCACACCCCTATATTCACTGGGGCGTTGTGCAGGTAAGCTGATGTAAGCCATGAGGTATTTATTCATTGAGGTGTTGTAGCCTAAATCACTTCCTCTAAGACTTCCTCTCTCCAGGGAGAGAAATTTTAATGGAACACAGTGGATCTCCATCTTTAAAGCCCTGCATTTTTCATTCTGTTTAAGAAGGTAATATAAGTAAGGCACCTCAAAACTCTAAATGTTGTAGTATTCAGATATGGTTAGAAGGGAGGCTTTTGCACTATGCTGTCATGACCTGTTCAGATGCTACGTAATAAAACTTTTGTTCTTTATATAAAGGTTGCTCCAAATAAGGCTGTATGTTAAAGAAATTGTTTCATATTGATGCAGCTTTTAGTTGATTGGCTGAGTTCCTTTTTAATTCAGTTGTAGATATCCCTGTAACTTTTTTGCACAGAACTCATGAAGTTCCTTTATCAGACCACCAGATGGAGTTCTGCATTTATATACCTCAGAGACAGTGTTATCTAATTTTTTACGCTTCAAATAAAAAGCTGTTGTAGCTCTGTACTCTCCTAAAGGCTATATAGTATGGGTTAATTTGCAGAATGATATGCTTATATAATGCTTTTGAAGACCCTTACCTTGCTAACAGAAATAGTATATTGAGTTGTTCCTGATACTACCTTTCACAAGGAAATCGTTACTCTGGATCTTTCACAATAAATTTTACCTTGTTGCTACCTGACATTAGATGTCTATACATGAACATGTAGGCTGCTCTGATGTGCTGTAATTCCAGTGCATTGGAACAAACTGGATTAATCAAGTCTGCTGGAGCGTGTCAGTTAGCATGCTCCAGAAGCCTCCCGTCTCCTGTGTATCAGCATCCCTGCACTTCAAAATGGCAGCAGAGGCACTGTATCTAAAGCTCAATCGACAAGCTTTAGGTACAGCGCCTCCGCTGCCATTTTGAAGTGCAGGGGTGCTGATGCATAAGATGCTCTAGGCGCTTTAATTGGAGCAGCTCTCAGGGTTCCTCTGTGCCCCTGCTCCTGGAGCACATGTATAAACTCCCATAACTGGGCACATCTACACGTGCACATTAATGCACACTAGACTATTTTAATGCACATCAAAGTGTCACAAAAAATGCGTTTTCATTAATGTGCATTAAAAGAAGCTAATGAGCCTTTTTCTGGAGCTTCAAGGCACTTTTACATGTGCTCTGGAGGTGGGGAGGGGGGTGATGCTTGAATTAGAACATCTCCAAAAGCTACTCTAAAGTGCTGCTGTGTCTCATGTATCAGCATCCCCATGCTTAAAAATGGCAGTGGGGGTGCTTGAACTAAAGCTCATTTTTTAAGCCTGAGGACACCGGCAGTGTCACACTGATTCACAAGATGCAGGAGGCTGCTAGAGTGTGGCATTTGACACGATCCAGCGGACTCAATTAAGTGAATCAGAGCAGCCTTGCTGCTCATGTATAGGCACCCTCACAATGGAAGTACAAAATTTAATATGCATTGGCAACAGCACATTAATGAGCATATATAGATGCACCCACTGTCTCCTTGTAGCTTCCAGGTAGCAACCTAAGCAGGAGCTGTCACCTTTTCTTTCTTCTTTCTTTGTCCACCTCTTCTAGATATGGTGAAACAAGATAAGGGTACCTCTTCTAGCACAGAGGTATACAACAGTTGCAGCTGCCCCAAAAAATCCATATTGGCCAAGCCTGAAGTCGAGGAAGAAGAATAAAAGCCCCTAGAGTTCCTTAGAAGGGAAATCATAGCGTAGACTAGACAGCATAGTAGGATGAGTGGGTGCAAGCAGACAGATGCATCCGCCTTTTCCTTGACTATACAGAGGAAAAGCCAAGCTGAGTGAAAGGAGGAGAAAACAAAATGGGAATATGTATGTTTGTGCTGGCCCCTAATTAGGCACAGAACAAAAGCCTTAGATGCGTGAATGTAAATGGGTAAACTAAAGGTATAGTGAAAGAATACTTTGCTCCTATCTTCTATTCCCACTGCCACTCCCAAACATTTGTTGGCATAAAGAGGAGGGATTTTTTTCAAAAGGATTTTAGGTTTTAGCTGGGAAGTTTTTATTTTCATCTTATGGCCACACTGAAGCCTTGTCTCTCCCCCCTCTGCCCCCTGTTCACTTCCCTTATCAAACCATCTTCTGTGTCAGACCTTCAAGTGATGGCTAATAGTCTGCACAACACATTCTGGAGAGAATCAGCTGGACTGCAGGAGATACAGCAATTTGAATGAGAGAATCTACCAATCCTCTGTCACCTATTGACAGCTCTCCAGACCTTTTTTGATGTTTGTCTCCTGTTGTTCTACTGGAAAACAAATAGCCATATAAAAGGGCTACATTTGAAAGTTGACACTTTAAATTCACATTTTAATTTTCTAAAATATAAATTTCCAGAAGTGCTGAGCACATGCAGTGGCCAGTGTCCTTATCTGAAGTGTGTGCATCTGTATTTTTAATATTCAGGCTGTTTTCATTTTGATAATTAGTTTCAGGCTAGTAAAACTTCAAAATGAGGGAGCCTGTGGCTTGAGGCAGGAAAATTAGGAAGTGAATGTACAAGTCCATTAATGCAATCGGTGAATCTTCCCACAGAATACCTAAAAAAAGAAAAAAAGAAATGAGCTGATCCCAAGTACTCCTCACATGTGTGCAGAGCGTGAAATGTGTAAGATTGGTAGGAAAGCCAATTTAAGTGTTTGAATTAAATATGACCACTAGCCCTTTTGCCTATCATTTAAAACCCTGTAGTAGGTAATCAGATTGGCCCTAGACCAAGGGTAACCAAGATGTGGCCTACAGGCTGGATCTGGCCCGTAGGGCTTCGCACAAGTTTGGGAATTTGGCAGCGGGCAAGTGGTGGCGGTACTAATTGCTTTGGCTCCTGAAGGGCTGCATGAGTTGAGCATCACTATCCTAAACTATTAATTTCCCTCTTTAGATGTGTGAAACACTTCCACTTTTAAATTGCCTTCTGAAGTGGAATAGAAGTTTGGTATTTCTCCTTTTTTTGAACAAAGACTAATAACCACTAAATTATGAGAAAATGTCCTCTTATGGACCATTTAATTTTAGTAGAATGAAATTCAAACATAAGTCTACATATAAATTTCTGAAGGTGCAGTTTATGAAAAAATGTTAATAATGTTCAAGATAATGTAACTGAGCGATTTTTTTTTTTTTTTTTTTTTTTTTTTTTT